GGACCAAGCTTTACTTTCTTCCTGACTGAGTTTAACTCTTCTTTTTCCTTCATTGCCCTCTGCTTGAAGTTGTTGCATCTTTGCATTATGTTCATCTAGTATGTTGAAATTTTGCAAATTTTCCATGTCCTTTTTGCCTTTTGGCTCTGGTCGCCCATCTCAGGTAACCTATATCCTAGAAAGAGTTTGTCATAGTCTGTATTTGAGTCTTCGCGTATTGTTTGCATGACTCTGTCCTGAGTTTCTGGTTCAAGCTCTTCAAACAGTGCCTGTCCATATGGAATATGCTCGTTTCCAAATATATGTTTTTGTAGCCATTCTGATTTTCTTTCCATGTTACCAACTATATCTTTTGTGAATGGGAAAGCTTTTACCCAATCTTTCAGTCTTGCGTCGTTTATTTCTGTAGTTGGTTTTATTTTGTCAAGGAACATGTTTTTCAATACTAACATTTCATTTGGTACTGTCCAATTGAGTTTTCTTAAATATTCATCCCTTCTCAGTTCATTGTCTGCAAAGTAAGTTTTTATGACATTTTGTAAACTTTCGTTTGCAAGGTCATGTACAATAGGTTCTCTTCCTTCGCTCTCCCTAACTTTCTTTCTAAACTCTTCACCAAATATACCATCTCTATGGTTCTGTGTAGTTCTTTGAGATAAATGTTCTAGAACGTCAGGTGTTATATTTCCATCAGCCATGTTCATTTCATACTGGTCCAAAATATCTGCATGTTTCATATCTTTCAATGGCATTAAAGCCGCGCTTAAAATACCAGCTATATCTGGTTCACCATTGACTTCCATTGCGTCTACAACTTCTTGGAATTGAGGTTGTAAGTTTATGAACCACCTATCTGGATTAGCTTTATGACCCCATCTCATTGTAGTTCCATCGTCTGCAGAAACAAAAGTAGGTTTGTTTCCATCTTGGTTAGGTTCTGAATGAACTTTAAACAATGTTTCATTTCTATATGTTTTCTTGAAATTTAACCTTTTATTTTCACCGAGTTCATCCGAAGATTGAACGTTAAATGCTCGTAAGTAAAAAGGGTTGTTGTATTTGTGTACATTTTCTTTCAGTACTTCCATTCTATGCTGAATATTTTCATCTGGTGTTGGAGTCTTTTGTATGTCGGCAAACATTTTTCGATATTCTTCTACTATGTCAGCCGAATTTTTTTTAGACTCTTGGAAATATTCCATATTCTCCGCATACTCTTGTTGAGGGTCAAGATTTTTCGGCTGTTCCAAATCTTCATCTAGTTCTGTGAGGTTAGTTTCCAAAGGAGGGACTTGTTCGTTTCCTTCAGGCTCTTCTAGCTGTTGTTGCTGAACTATTTCTTCCATGTCTGGTTGTATCTGAACTAGTTCTTCCTGTGGAGTTTCTTGTACCTCATCTGCTGGCATTTCATATATTCCGAGACCGTTTTTAACAAGTTCCCTATTTAAGTCATCTGCATTCATAAGCCTTTCTTCTTTCGTTCCGTCTCTATTTTTTACGCGTTTCATGAAGATAGTTGAATCATCATTTATCTCTGACATAAAATATCTCGGAGTAAATTCAGTCATGTCATTTGGACGATATGCTATTAAATCATATCCCTTAGCGAGCTTGTATTTTCCAGGTTTGAAATTATATCCGATTTTATGCTGAGCCATAAAGCTAAATAGGTTCGGGTCAGTATTTTCTTCCTTGAACTTTCTAATAGCTTCTTTATATCTGTCACTAAAGTCAATAGTATCTGGGTAACCATATTTTTCCTTTAGCATTTTTAAGAATTCTTGGTTTCCTTGTTCTCTACTTCTTTTATGTCCTTGCTCTGTTTGTGGTTGTGGTGCAGTGTTTTGAACTGTTGGTTGTGGTGCAGTGTTTTGAACTGTTGGTTGTGGTGCAGTGTTTTGAACTGTTGGTTGTTGTGCTGGATTTTGAACTGTTGGTTGTTGTGTTGGTTTTGGTGCATGCCTGTGTCTGTGTCCATGTGACGATGTAAATGTTTTAGGTAGTCCTGGTGCAGGTGCTTCTCTTGGAGGGTTTGGTGGTATATAAGTTCCACTAGCTAGTATATAAGTTCCACCAGCTGGTATATAAGTTCCACCAGCTGGCACATATGTTCCATCTGCAGCATAATGTCCTACCTGACTTTTCGTTCTTAAGAAAGCATTTACTAGGTCTGTTTTGGTCTGTTGTAACTCTTTTTCTTGACTTTCCACAACAGTTGCTCTAACGGCGTCATAGGCACTTTGAACTGCCTGTCTCGTTGCTGCATCTGTTATTTTCGTCATATTTTGTGCTACTTCTTTTAACTCTTTGTCGAAACCTTCAGACTTCAGTTTCTTTCCAGATGAGAAGTCGTTCACTTGTTTCACCTTACTATGAAGAGCTTCGAAGGCGTTCTTAAAGTCAGCATTTGTTAAAGCTTCATTTGAACTGTCTTCATCCGCTTGTATTTTTGTCCTTATTGACCCTATAAGCTGGGCTGCTTTAGCGTTGGCTTGGGCATCTAACCAGTCATTGTTAGCTTTTATATATTCTGAGCTTTTCATTGCCTTTTGCATGGCTGCGTCGTTATTTTTACTTTCTTGTGCTAAGTTTTCATACTGTACGGTTTGGTTTTGCAACTGTAAAAGTTTTTCTGCCTTTACATTTGCTTCAACTTCTTTTTTATACTCATCGCTATCCATATATGTCTTCAGGGCTTTTTGTTTTATCTCTTCATCTTTCAGTACTTTATATTGAGTAGTATGGTTTTTCAAATTTATGACATCTTGTTCCATTTTTGCTACTTCTGCTGCTTTTTCTGACACTTTTTTCGCATATTCCTCTGTACTTAGTTCTTTCAGTTGTTCTTCTTTCTTCTTTTTCTCTACGTTTAACTCATTGAGTTTCTTTGTGTGTCTGTCATATTCTAGTTTCTTTTCGTTTTCACTTATTTGCTTCTGTATGTCTATGTTTGACTTTTTGACATCTGATATTTGATTTTTGAGTGAACTCAAATTCATTTGACTTTGAGGGTTATAGGCTGTTCCGTCTGCAGCTCCACCATAGCCTGCCATTTCGCTAAAAGTGCCGCTCTTAAACCTCCACTCTGTGCACCAAAAACTCGGTTTAAAAGCATAGGATTGCTTGACATTTGTTGCAACATAGTGGGGTCATTCAGCATTTGTTGTTGCAACTGTTGTTGTGGTGTCAGTTTTACTATTGGATGTTTCAATGCTCTCTTCCTCTTACGTATATTCTTACGTAGCTTACGTGGCATTTTAAGTGAAGTTAAAAACATTTACGATGAAGAAGTTTCGACAAAGCATTTACGAAGAAATCATGAAAATTCAAGAGGTGAGAAAACAGGTGAGAAAACGGGTGACATCTCACCTCTTCACCTAAATTATATTTTTGGGTCATTTACGCTCATTACGATGAAATCATGACAAAACATTTACGATGAAGAAGTCTTGACAAAACATTTACGAAGAAGTCTTGACAAAACATTTACGAAGAAATCTTGACAAATTCAAGAGGGTAGAAAAGAGGTTAGAAAAGAGGTTATATCTAACCTTCTACCCTAAACATTATTTTTGTCTGATTTTACGAAGAAGTCTTGACAAAACATTTACGAAGAAGTCTTGACAAAACATTTACGAAGAAGTCTTGACAAAACATTTACGAAGAAGTCTTGACAAAACATTTACGAAGAAGTCTTGACAAAACATTTACGAAGAAGTCTTGACAAAACATGAAAACATATATAATTTGTGAAAAGCTCCTGGAAGACCTCCGAATAAAAACTTCATTTATGTGGGCTAGAAGGCACGAAGTGCCTGGAAGGTCACCCCAAGAAAAAAAAACTTCATTATACTCATTCATCCTCAGGGCTAGAAGGCACGAAGTGCCTGGAAGCCCCGCTACCTTTTTTTTTTTTTTTTTTTTTTTTTTTTTTTTTTAAGAATAATTTAATAGACTAAAAAATTTATTATTTTTATTTATTGTGAATTTTAAATTGTCACTTTTTAAGTATTACTCCCTATTGAAAGTGTCACTTTTTGGGTGTCACTTTTTCGGAAATTCTTATATACTCGTGTAAATAAGTCATTAGCTTTTTCTTTTGTTATTTATGCTATGCAGATGATTTTGGCGTTCATTATGCAGATGATAATGTTCTTGATAGCATTAAAGGACAAATTCAAGGGTCTTACACAATTATTGCTAGGTGTGTCTCAATCAAAGGAGGCACTACAGATGCAGAAAGTCCATTCTTTTATTCCAGAGACACTCTCACTGAAATTATATTCGAAACAGGAAGTAAGATTAAATCGATCTGTTCATGGTGCTTTTGTCGATCAAGACTAACACATGTTGACATGAGTGCATGCACAGAGCTTTTATCATTAAATAGCTCATTATTTTCATTCTGTTCGCAATTATCTCTTATCGAAATGCCCCCAAATATTAATTATATATCTTTTGGATGTTTTCGTGAAACAACATCATTAACAGAGATAGTTTTACCAGATTCAGTAACAGAAATTGCAGGCTATGATGACACTCATTTTAGAGTTTTTGGCAACAGTGGATTAAGTAGAATCGCGATCTCAGAAAATTCCAAGCTAAAGAAAATTAATGATGATGTGTTTGCTGATGCAAAATTAACATATTTATTCCACAATACTGCACTGAAATTGATCCTTCGGCTTTCCAAGGATGTCCCATTGCCGAGTTTAGAATTGATTCTCGAAACACCAAATTCAAAACAGATAAAAAGATTATTTATATCGGTGATAATAATTTTACCATATTTTATGTATCATCGCTATTGACAGGAACTTTCTACATTCCAAGGAAACCAGATCACAAGGATTCCAGAGTTTTGTTTCTATAATAATCCTAAACTGAAAACCATTACTCTTCCTAATTCAATACAAAGTATTGGAGATTCTGCTTTCCAATATTGCACATCATTTCAAGATATCGGATTGTCTGCACTCCAAAATTTACAAACAATCGGAATGCATGCATTCGCAAATAGTGGCTTAACAACAGCAAATCTAGCAAATTCAATTGCAACTGTTGGCCTTCAGGCTTTCTTTAGTAGTAAAGTCACAGAAATCACAATTAGTTGCACAATTCCACAAGAAATGTGCCGTTTATGCGATAAACTTACTACACTGAATCTCAGAGGAAATGTTGAATCAATTGGTAAATTTGCATTTTATAAATGCTCATCTTTGACGGGATTCACAATTCCTTCAGATTTAAAGAGAATTTATGACTTTGCATTCCAATCATGCACAAGCTTATCTGATATCAGAATGGAGATGGATGGTAATCTACAAAGCATCGAAGGTGGTTGTTTCTATGATTGCCCTAATCTTCGCTCAATAACATTGAATCCAGATGACAGAAGATTCTTGTTTGAGAATGGTGCATTGACTTACTATAATAAATCCAAACTTATAGTTTTCCTTCCATATAGTGGAATCAAGAATTTCATTGTTCCCATGGATATGGAAGAGATTGGAAGCTGCGCATTCATGGGAAGTCCAAGTTTGATTCGAGTATTCTTCAATGGAAACAAAATCAAAGATATTGGATATCAATCTTTTAAAGACTGTCCAAATCTAAACCTGATTTTTTTCTCATCTCCAAGCTTAAAAACAATTGGAGCCGATGCTTTCAAAGGTTGTCCTCTCCTTAGTAGATGTGGAGCTTTTTCAGTTCCTGCATCCATTCAAAATACTTTTATCAATGCTGGAATTCCACAGATTGCATTTTCAGATGACTGTGATCTAATTAATTCATGCAAAATTGGACATAAAATTGCAATTTCACCTGAATTACTATTTCCGTTCATTTACATGTAATTTCAATAAAATATTACAGGGCAATGGATTTAAATATATTGTTAAACGATATTTGATTAGATGGAATTGATTTAAACGAAAGAGCTTGCTCCTGGCTGCTTATACTCCTATAAAGTTCCAAGTTGTATAACAATTAAACCAATTTTTTTTTCTAAACATGTACCCAATTTTTATTCGTGATTAACTTTTTATACATATCATTTCCAATCCATCCAAGTAAGTGTACGATGGAAATGATTCATATCAAATCTTTGTATTTTAAAAATGAGGATTGTATCAAAGATATTCCTGACTTAACTATAGAATAACTCTTTAGTTTTATCAGAGTACCCTCGTGGTTCACTAAAGCATCTTTAATCTCTAAAATCTTTTATCAACTCGAAAATAAAAAAAAACTTGAATTTAAAAAATAGACGTTTAAAAATGGACTTTTTCCCTCCCTTATATGAACAAGCTGAATACATCGATAGCGGTATTTCCATCTTGGATAACATTTTAGACAATGGTGGTCAATCACTCAAAACAGGAGAATCAAAAGAAAATCTAAATTCAATTAAATCACAAATAGAAACACTTAAAGAAGATGTTAATTCACTTAAAGATAAAATCGATAGTATTGCAGAATTCGGAAATCTTGTTAATGAAACAATTAAATCTGTTGAACAGCTTAAGAAATTTGGAAATTTCCTTGGTATTCAATTTGGCGATCAACAAACTACTCAATACAGCATCAGAGATAACGGTTCTGTTTCAGTTATCATCTCTGAAAAGGTAAAGACACCAATTAAATCACCAAACATAATCAAGACATCTTCAAGCGAGCCTCAATATAGAGAAATCACTCACGATGAATATGAATCTCTTGAGAGCATGTATAAATATCTTATGAAAGAAGATCTCTTAACAAGAAATTATTACACCCTATATAACTCAGGAGTAACTGAATTTACAGATGAATTAACTAGAAAATACGGAATTAGCATGTTTGGACCTCTTCCGGGAACAATTTGGGAAATTTTAAGATTCTTAAAGAGATCAGAGACTATTGAGTCTGATGGTAAGAAAATTTATCGATTTAGATAAGAATCTCATTCATGTTTGTTCGCATAAAATGCTTCTGCTACTAAATATTACTTTTTAAAATCATTTTACTTGCTTGACTCAAATTATGAAGTATTAACATTCTTATGTGTAATACAATGAGATGTAATCTAATTTCTGATCTATTCTTCAATTAAAATGACAATGAATTAATAACCATTCATTCACTATTCATATTTATAGTAATTAAGCTAATTTCGTATTGCAAACTCTTATATATTAAAGAAAACGCATATATCGAAAATGATATAATCAAGGTTTTGGTTCAATAAGACAAGTTAAATTGCCGCTTATATCCAAAGATGTGATACCATTATCATCGATATCAGTGATTTTTACTGTCAATCTTTTTATATCCATAATAAAAATAGAGGAAGTGATTGATTTCGGAAGACGATAATTTCCGACGATAAAATCTAAGTAATGCCTCCACGACCCGGAATTCGCCCACCGCGCAAGAATGATAGATCCGAGCGCTTTCAGGTAGACTGGCTTCGTGATTATCAAGATTATGTTGAAATTACATTGCCAAAAATTTCAATTTATATTGGTTTTATTTTAATCATCACACAGATCTCGCAATATTTCAATTTCAAGTCAGCAAACTTCGAAAGAAGATACCCCCGCAATGATACATATCTTTCACACTTGGCAGATATGTTTAAAGGCGGTCCAATCTACGTTTTGATAGCACTCCTTGTCTATTTCGTATACTCTTGCATAACAGGTTTCGAACAGGATGTTGCTTTTATGCTTGGTGTTCTTTTTGCACTCGATGATGGCTTACTCCAGTTCCTTCAGAATAATATCTCCGCTTGTTATTTATTTATTAGTGTTTTGTTCACAATTTACTTTGGCCTTCAACTCCAAGAAGAATTCTCAGGAACTTTTTCATTAAGATGGTATTACAACTTTCTTGGCTCCTGCGTCTGCGCTCTCATCTCAATATTCTTATTTCCAGAAGTTATACCAATTATTCTCATCGTTTTCTTATTCGCCAACATTTCCATTTCGAAATCCTCTCTTATCAACAAATCTGGCGGAAGAACATTCGCCAACTTAGTTTGGGCAGCTGTTCTTCTCCTCCCATCTGTTTACTTAGTCTATCCAAGAGTTCCAAGATTCGATTTCCAATTACACAACGTTTACGATGTTTTCGTTCTTGCAGAATGGAACATTGGAACGCTCATCCCAATTATCCTCTCATTACCTCTCATTGCAGCCATTCGTACTCCTCGTGTCAATTCATATCTTATTTCTTGCTACGCCGTCAGTATTTTCGGCATTTTCATCAATTGCAGCCGCAATCTTGATACTCTCTACATCAGATTACTATTCGCAAGAATGGTAGGCTCTGCTGTGGCTTCAATCGTTCTCGGAAGACAGAAATTCATCTTCACAAGTTTCATTGTTATTTTAATTTCGTTTGGCTACGCTTGGATTCAAAGAGAGCAGTTCAATCCAATTGATATCGATTTTGTTTAAATGTGATTTAGAATTGCTAGAATATATGATATTATAAGGTACTAAAACTCTACATTTGCTAAATATTATAAGTATATAATATTCTTAATTTTTTAAAATATTTATGCTTTTGTTGTTGTTATAAGGCCTAATTTAACTTTTTTGAATTAGAAAATAAAGAAATTCTTGAGCCAGCAAGCTTCTGTTTATCCATAACCCTATGTATTAATGAAATGGATCAAATATTGGTAATAGTAACATTAATACACTTATATTGCTTTTTTTCATTATGCAAAACCAATGTATTCCTAAAATGGTCAGAAAATCCAATAAGAAACTTCGAAATGCTGGTTTGCTAGTATCAAATCGAATTTGAACCATGCCAATGATACGTCAATATTAGATTTCTTCTTGCTACTTCATTTATCATTGTTTTATTAAATAAAAATATATATTTTTAACTTCATCCATCAAATACCCAAAAATGATTTCGTTCTCTAATTTACTCCACTATAACCCTTGAGTAAAAATTAATTAGATAATATAAGTTTCCCTATCAACGTTAGCAATACTTGATATTGAAAAAAAGTGATTCTGGCATTTCAGATATCCTTACACTGAATGCCGACGTACTTGTATGAATAGAATTTACACACATTAGACTTTAAATAAGCAAGATTGTAAAATTTATTCGAAACACTCATGATTTTTTGATTTTTTACAAGAAATATGTTTTGCTTTTATGTAACAATAAAATTTACAAAAGAAAATGCTATCATGTTATAACTTATTACGAATATATTTTTTTGACAAAATTTCACTTTACATTTTACAATTTGCACACAAAAATTTTTGACGGGTTTTATTGAATTTTAAATGAATTTTGGGGGTGCCCGAACAGCATCCTTTTGTGATACAAAGGTCGACGCTCTGAAGGACTGGACCGAAGAAGAGAGGAAAAACCTTTGCATTACTATCTGGGTTGATTCTAAAAACATGAGAGTCGCATTGTGCCCAACAAAAGAACCGAAGAAAAAGACTATTTATATGCAAAAAATCCGTGTATCTAAAGCCGATGATGTAACTAATAACTTTGACAGTCTTAGAAATGCGTTTGCTGCTCACGGTTGCCAAGTTGTATTCGCAACCATGTCTTTTGCAGGCCCAGTTTCACCAGATCATGTCGTAGTTACTAACTGGAAATGCGAGGCTCGCGAAAGAGTTATTCATTTTACAACACTTCCATTCGATCTTTTCCCTCTTGATCGCAGAAAATTCATGAACGACTTAGAAGCCGCTTCTTATGGTATTATAGCCCATAACTTACGTCAATCACTTCCATCCATATTTGTTCCTCTCTGGGTTACTCCAACTTGCGCTCCTATTTCATTAGAAGGTTCTTCATTGGTTTTATCAATTGGTTCTGGCTTCGGTACATCATACATCTGCAGAGTTGACTCATCCGAGCACAACTGTGTCGTTTCTTCCGAAGCAGGCCACGCACAAGCATATTTATGCGATCCAAGTGATCCAAACTATGACTTTGAATACAGATTCTTCCAGCACGCATCACAGAAATTACATGGTGGCTCACACCAGCCAGAATGGGAAGATTTCTGCTCAATTTCAGGCCTTGAATTGGCTTACAGCTTCTTGAAGATTGAAAAAGGCGAAAAATTCGAGCACCAACCAGATTACGAAACCATCAGACAACTAGCTATCAACAGCAATGACCCAGATGCCCTTCAAGCTTTCAAAGTTCATTATAGATTTGTCATGAGAGCTGCACAGAGCATGGTTCTGGCCATACACTGCCAGAGAGTCTTCATTGTTAGTGAATACCAGGTCAGAGCAGGCGAACTTATGCCAGGAATCGCCGAAGACTTAAAGAAGGAATTTTTGAACCACCCAAGATCAGATTGGTTCAAGAAGATGAACGTTTACATCCAACAATCTACTTCTACATTCGCTCTTTCCGGTGGCCTCTTCCTTTCTCGTGTTTTTGCTGTTGCCCATGCCAAACAATCCCATATGGAATAAAAATATATTTAATCTTAACCATAATGCTTGTTTTCAACATACTTCATTAAATATTCCTTGATCAAATACGATCTTAAAATCAATCTGTCCCAAATGACTAAAAAACTTTGATAGTTTTGATACCAGGTAAATGTATGCTAAAATAAACCCAGGTGAAAGAAATTCTAGGAAATAATATTTTGGAAAAATTATTTTTTTATGAAATGGAATAATTTTGCAGGTTAAATGCGTCTCGTTCTTCTGATAGTAAAACAAATTACAATCCACAAATGCCGAAATCATATTTTTTAAATGGAGATAAAAGGATGGCACCTAATTATTGTATCACATTTATTAATGTATTGCATATCATTTACTCCGGATACCTTAGTTTCAAACAATATACATAATTGGAAGTTTCTTTTTGTCATTATATATACAATCATTTTTATTATCCTCATTGCGTCCATTTATTTAACAGGTACATCAAGAATTGAAATAAGAGATGATATGTTCCATATGGAATCCGATGAAAATCTATGGTTTTGTCAAGAATGCAATCATTATTGCCCTTTACGTGCTTCACATTGTAAAACATGTAAGAGATGCGTATTGAGAAAAGATCATCATTGTTCTTCTTTGGGTGTTTGCATTGGAATGGAAAATCATCTCTTCTTTTACTTGTTTTTATTATTTCTCGGCATATTTGATATATTTAACATTATCATATTCAAAGACTGCATGAAAGACGATCAGCCTTTTGACGAATGGCTTCGCTATTCACTTCTACCAAATTTTGCATTTTATGGAGCAATAATTTCACTAATTCAGCCAGTATTACTCTTACCATTACACACATTTTTAATTCTTTCTAATAAAACTACTTGGGAAATACTAAAAGGAAAAGAAATCACGTATCTTACAAACTGGAAATTAAGACTCAGTCCATTTAGTCATGGTATGATTCAAAATATTCGAGAATTCTGTTTTATGCGTTGGGAAGTTCCAGTTTATAAAGTTCCATTTACTCCTGAAGAAATGGAACAATACAAGGCAGATAACTCATGCATAATGAACGATACATGCAATTGCTGCTAAGCTAATAGATGAACTTTTAATTTATTATAATATTATGTTTATTGTTTTGTTTATTTATATTAAATGAAAAAAAAAAAAAAAAAGGTAGTGGGGCCTCCAGGCACTTCGTGCCCTCTAGCCCTGAAGATGTTTAGTATAAATGAAGTTTTTTGGGTATTGGGGGCTTCCCGGGCGCGTTGCGCCCTCTAGCCCATAAAAAATTTTTGAGAGTCGTCGTCGTTGACTTTTTTGGTAGAGCACTCAAAATAGTACAACTTTGTCCGGACAAGTAAGGGTCTATCGTCGCTACAGGAAAAGTTACGGGCGTTCCAAGGAAGTATACTTGAGAAGCCTTTCTGTCACTTTTCAGGAAAAAACATTTTTATTATTATATATAAATGAATTTTACAAAACCACCGTTACCGTTCTTTGGAAATAAGAGTAGATGTAAAGATATTATATTGAGAGAACTTAAGAAACTACCGAATGGTCTAACATTTGTAGATTTGTTCGGTGGAAGTTCTCATATATTCCCATTTGTGCCATACAATATTCCCAGACTCAAAGATTATATGCAATGACTTCGACAACTATATGGACCGTCTCAAACATATACCAGACACAACAAAATATATTGAAAGAGTTAAAAGAAAAGATACCTATAGGTAAGATGGAACGTATACCATTAGATAACAAAAATATTGTGAGAGAGGTTTTGAAAAAAAGCAGAATATATAGACTGGGATAGTATATCTGCTAGACTATATAATAGTGGTTCTATAAGAGTTCATGACATTGAAACACTTATGTCAAACGTTTTATATCTTAACTATACAATGTTTTCAAAGAGAACATAGAAAATAATTTGAGGGTATAGAGTTTGTGAGATGTCATTGGACAGAGTTGTATGAAAAATATAAAGACAAGGAAAATGTTTTCTTTATAGTGGACCCGCCGTTCTATAACACATGGGATTTTCAATACCAAGTAGACTGGACTTTGAGAGACTCTTTAGAAACTTTAGACGTTTTACATAACTGTCCATGCTTTTACTTTACATCCGATAAAAGTGGTTTGGAAACCGTTATGAGAAGGTTAGAGGACATACATGACTATGAGTAGATATGACAAGATAGAATATGAGAGAGGTCCTATAAACCGGAGAAAGTGTCATAACAAAGAAATTTACTAGTAAGTAAATGTGGTTTGAAATAGGACTACTTGTTTAGGTTTTTTCCATTGTGTCATTTATTTCTTTGACGGTGCAGAAAGATATAGAGAATATAAAGATGAACCAATGCCTGCAAATGTTCAGTATATTTACTCGTAAGAGATATTTTATCTAATATTAAATGACGCACAGAAACTTAGCGAATGCACAGCAACCTGGACAACCAAACCCAGAGAATATTCCAAATGAAGTTAGAATACAAACTGCAATGGCAAACTATGGTCAAGTGCCAACAGATGTACAAATGCAAACTGCCATGTCAAATGACGCTGCGTTAAGCTTACCACCATGGTATGCAAATATGAGATGGAAAGAGTTTTATACAACACCCGAAGTGGGATATAAACAACTCTATGCAGATGACGCGAACACAGGAGTTGACCCAGAATATGTTTTCTACCAGAGAGGAAACAGAATGTATGAGCTCCAGTTAAAGAATGCTATGGAACTCAACAGGAAACGTAAGAGACTAGGTGGACATTAGATTTTTACATATAGTAAAATGGGTTTCTTTGGAAGAATAGAGACTTCTTTCGAAATGTTGGAAGAGGTATATAGAATGGATAAAATCTGTCGGAAAGGAATTTGGAACGGAGTCAAAAATATTGGTAAAAGAGTAGGTCAGTTCGTTGGTATATACCTAAAGACCTGAACCAGAAAAAGAACTCCTGTTATACAACAACCTGCACCACAGTCAAGTTGGCAACACAATCCAACACCTCAACGTATTAAATTATATTTTTACCGTTCGATAGTAGTTTTATATGAAACTAAGTTCTAAGTAAAACGCATGGTATAATGGAATTATTCTCTTTCTTCCATCTGTTGTAACCATACTTGAAAGTCTGAAATACTTCCACTTGGTGGTTCATATAGCTTTGTAGGTTTTTCGAAAAGTCATTTGCCAAGCATAAGAAAGAGTTTTGCGCACCAGAAAATGAAGCATGACGATAATAGCATCTGAGTCGAAAACATTTTCATATGTTCCATTAGGGTTTTCGAATTCATAAAAGTCCGGGTGTACTGGATATTCTGCAGGTGATTTAACATCCTCAGAAATCTATACCATGCCAAGTTGTTATATTTTGTAGAATATAAACGTTTTCTCCAAGGTCTTCTATTCTATTGATTTTAACAGTTGCATTTTTCCTGTCATATAAATATCGAGATGGTACTCTCCCTCGTCAATGTTATACTGGTTGCATATTCGATATAGATATCGTTTATTTTTTCTTGAAAAGCTTGAAGAGTTGTTTCTAAGTTTACAAGCAAATTCACTTGTAAAAGTTTTCCCTGTTCAATAATTCTCTAACATACGTTTTTCTTTGTTATAGTATCGAACTTCAAAACCGACTGTAAATGGGAAACCATGTATGGCTTCTGAAATGAACTTCATTCTACGAAAGCCAATAGCTTTGTGTACGGATGGGTCTCTTAGCCATCTTAACGGGTAGTCAAAACGATAGCCTTCATGCTTACGGTCTCTGTCTCAAACTTTGACCGACATTCGTAAAAAGTCATCTAATGTTTAGTTGTAGCAACTCTTGAATTTCTTTTTCTATTGAAAGCATATTTTATCTAGAATAAAAATGTCAAATGAAACAGCGTCTATGAGAGAAATACAACACAACCGACAACTCATTATACAAGCTCTAAATAAAGAACACAACAAACTTTTCAAACTATTCTAAGATATCTGAGTCATTGAAAGAAGGAAACTTAAAACTGACATTACACCCAATGACAGATGAGTTTCTATTTCAAGACAATAAGAACCATACTGTCTGTATAAATCCAACAAAAGGAACTTTAAACGAGAAACCTATAAATGAACTTCTTTTGAAAGCAGATGTTGGCAACAAAGCTGACAAAGAATATGTAGACGATGCAATAGCAAAAGAAGAAGAAAGAGCTAACAAAGCTTATGCAACAAAAAAAACATACTCATCCTGAACTAGCAGACAAAACATATGTTGACAATAAAATGTCAAGTGAAGTGACAAGAGCTGAAAACGAATATCTAAAAAGACTCATACACATTCTATATCTGATATTACAAACTTACAAGAAACCTTAAACAGGAAAAGTGACGTGGACATACACATACCATTGCAAATATTACAAACTTACAAGAAACCTTAAACAGGAAAAGTGACGTTGGACATACACATACCATTGCAAATATTACAAACTTACAAGAAACCTTAAACAGGAAAAGTGACGTTGACATACACATACCATTGCAAATATTACAAACTTACAAGAAACCTTAAACAGGAAAAGTGCCGTTGGACATACACATACATCTTCTGAAATAACAGACTTAAACGTTAGCCTTGAAAATAAAGCAGATAAAACATATGTCAATGAAATATACCAAAGTTTGCTAGGAACAAAAATATTGAAACTATTGTGTGACTTTTCTGTCAATGAAGAAAACAAATATTTTAGAGGCAGTTGGTACAGTCCTTAGAAAATGGTACACGGTATAAACTCATTCCGAAAAATAACAATGAAATGTATGTAAGCTATAAAAAGAACGATGGTACACAAGTTAAAGTTCCATTAGACAACAACTGCTACTTAAACTTATATGGAGACGAACAAAGAAATATTTAAGAGTTTATGAAATGGCAGATATGACATTGCCTGACCCAGCTCCAGCACCATATTATTATGACTATGGAGATGACGTCAGAACACCACATGTAGATGAACAAAAGCTAACATTATATTTAGATTATTATAGATATAAAAGATATAATGCAATAGAAAAAACGAGAATAGTATACATTTATACAGATGACAGAAATAAATATTATTAGTCAAGACTTTACCTACCCTGAAAACATAAGATTATATTATAAAAAATATTCTGACACAAACCAGAAGAAACCTGAAATAGTTGCACTATATTTTAAGTTCAAAAGAGACAATCCTGTAATGTCTCATATGTTTGATTTAATGAACCCAGTAGGTTCTATTTATACATCTATGGATGCAAGAGGTCCTCAAGTAATGTTTGGTGTTGGTGCATGGGAACAAATAGTCGACAGGTTTTTGTATTGTGCAAACTCTTCAAAGGAAACAGGTGGAAGTAAAACGATTTCAGGTGAAAATTTACCTGCACACAGTCACTACATAGATTTAAGTACATCTCAAGCAGGTTGGCATAAGCATAGATATTGGGATTGGTCAGGAATGACAAAAGGTAAAGGATATGATGTTAAAGACGACGTTAAGTTTGCTATAAATTGTTACTGGAAGTGACACTCAGGAGAAGGAAACCATACACATTTCGTTCAGGATATACACAAACAACGGGACAAAGTAAAGAATACATGCCACCTTACATGACAGTTTACGCATGGTATAGAATTGCTTAGTCGTCATTTTCAACTTCTTTAGCATATTCATCAGGAGTTGTCTCTATATTTGTTAGGAACTGTCTTTGAAAGTATACCACCTTGAACTTTGACAAGTTTGAAACGAGGTCGACAATAGTAGTTTTATCTTCTGCTTGCAGTGTGTACATTTTGCCATGTTTGCCTAAACTTCATAATATTCTCTTGTATACTTTCTTCTATTTTTACGAACACGAATGTGAGTACCTGTCGGTTCCCATTGTTGTCATAGTCAATAGTATTTTCATATGGGTCGCGTTTAGGTATTTTCTATTTTTACTTTGTCACCTTTCTGAAGTTTGAAGCCCGGCATTCTTTCTTGTTTGTCTCTTTTGACTAAAATTATCTCTATTATTAAATATATAGTCTTTTCTCTAAGTCAGGGT